TGAATCGATAGAATGGGAATAATTTTCTCGGAAGAATAATTGGTGTCCTCCAAAATACACGAGTTCTCAAGGCACCAGGTGACGTATCTCCACACATACTCCTCCAGAGCTAGTTTGATATCCTCCCAAAATAATCTAGAACTTTACATTATTACTCAATAGAGCCGCCACAGCCTTCGAAACTTTGAGTTAGAGTTCCCGGTCGCCCTGTCTACGCCCACACCTCAGTGCTCCTGTACTCAAAGTTATAATCAGAGGAATTGTGGATTTATGGCCGCTGCCAATCAAACATCCCGAGATGTCGTCTCCGAAGGAGCAATGATAAAAAAATTTAATCACGATACTCATGAAAATTCACTGTTATGCATTGATGCATTACATCTCGAAAATACCATTGGAAAGGAAACAACGTCTGTGTATCTATACTTCTGGAACTGGAGGTGATAGCAATTTTTCTTCATCCTCACTTCTTGTCATTCCCAGAGGTAAAGGTGTGAAATATGATCCATAATTTTTTATTATTTCTACGAGTTGTATTATTTTCTCTTCAAGAGAAATCTCATCGCTCTTATATCCTCAGATTTCTTAAATCGAAACTTTTATGGTGGCAATTGATTCCAGCACTTGGATATTGATACGGATATTCAACTGACAAATCGTGACCGGAGACTATGAGATTATAATTATTCAGTGAATAATAATAATAGTGGATTACGACGAATGGCGCAAAGTGAGTTTGCAGTCAAGAAATAATCATTGAGACGATAAACCAGAATGCGCTTTGTTTTCCAGCCCCAAGATTTACTCAATATGAATAATTGATTTGGGTTCAATTATTTAGTCATACAGCTTGGTCATGGATATGGGATTACGGAAGTAGGCCATGTAGTATACTAGAATGGAGGAAATTGGAGGATCACCTTACATAGGTACAAGCACATAATCAATACCGTTTAATTTCTCAATCTCACCTGGAGCGCATACTCCACAGTCATCTCCATGAAGGCCTTTAGCACCCCTTGGCCCTGGTACGCCTGGCCAGCCATCAGGACCGGGAAATCCTGGTGTACCAGGAAGCCCTGGCTCACCGGCTGGACCACGAATTCGAACACCTTTGCCCGGGAAACCCTTTGGCCCTGTTTTCAACCAATAAAAGTTGAGAATTTCTTTCAAACAAAAACATGTCAATCTTTTAAAAGGGTATTATAAAGATTCTCAATCCATATGTATTATTATTATGTAGTATATTATATTAATAACGTAATGTTTAGAATTCATAAATTTATTATTGATAAAAAAAACAAACCTTCGGGGCCTGGATCTCCGCGGTCACCAGGTGGTCCCTCCAATCCGCTGAAGCCTGGTTTTCCGTCTATACCCGGTGGCCCGATGATCGTAACCCCGGGGAAGCCCTTAGCACCAATCGGTCCCACAATACCGGGCCTTCCGGGAGGTCCTGGAGGCCCAAGTGGTCCTGGCAGCCCATCGTCACCTTGTTCTCCTTTCTCGGATGTTCCCTTTGGTCCGGGAATACCTGGTGGACCCTGTGGCCCCGGTAAACCTTAGAACAATGATGCAACTCATTCATTTTCATGTCGATATCAAAATTATCGCAATAAAACTCGAGTATATTCCAGTAGAATGCAAAATTTCATGATTTTATACTGTCTTTTACCTGGAGGTCCAATGTAGCCGACTAATCCCGGACGCCCTGGAGTACCGTCTTGTCCTGGTTCTCCAGGAGGACCTAGAAGACAAAAAAAATCAAAAATAAAACGGGAAAAACTTTCCGTGGAATAA